ACGCGTCGATCCAGAGTATCCCACAGGTGTTCAATAGGGTTGAGGTCTGGTGATTTAGAGGGTCATGGCAAGACATTGACGTTGGAATTCTGCAGAAAGTTCATTGTTGCACGTGCAGTATGAGGCCGGGCGTTGTCCCGTTGAAAAATCTGTGTCTGTTGGTCAATAATCGGGAGAAGGTGAAGCTCTAACACGTGGTTGATGTAACGTTGGGCTGTCAGGTTCCCCTGGAACGATCACCAAGTCTGATTTCTGGTTGTATGAGATGGTTCCCCAAACCATGACGCTTTCTCCGCCAAATCTGTCCACCTGTCGGACGCAGATGGGCGCAAAACGTTTATGACGTCTCCTATACAGACGCTGTCTTCCGTCGTGACGTTGCAAAAGAAAACGTGATTCATCAGAAAACCAGATTCGCCTCCAGTTTTGTAAAGTCCGTATCCTTACGTTGTTGCACCACCTGAGTCGTCGGCGTCGATGTAGGGGGCGTAGTACAGGTCCAACAACTGGTCTACAGGCACGTAAACCCGCTTCTTTCAGACGGTTCCTAATCGTTTGAGCTGACACTCTCCTCAAACCTGGTATTTGTGTGGCAGTCACGGTTGGTAGGGCATGCCGATTACGCAGGTGATGGACCCGGATGTACCGATCTTGAAGGGGGGGTCGTGATTCTTGGCCTTCCACTTCTCGGGCGATCGTTGGTCAAATTGAAGTTGTTGTAGCGGCTCAAAAGTCGGGATATCGTTGTTTTGTGAACATTTAGGTGCCGTGCAACAGTTTCAAAACTTTCTCCGGCTTGAACACGACCAATGGCGATATTTCGGTCGGCAGCACTCAATCGTGGCATTTTTAACACAGCTTTTCGGCGACAAATGAATGAATATAATACGGAAGCACATGGGCTTTTATACACCCCTACATTAACTGCCATTTTCATGATTTGCATGTGTTTTTTTTGTGCGAAGTCACCATGAGGGTCATTTCATGCGTTGTGACGGAATAAGCAATAAAATACACTTATGCGTACAAATGCAGTTGTTTGGATGGTAAGCTTCATTAATTACGTGTATCATTTCAATACATTCGAATAAAATTTAGTTTGGAAGCAATAACTTCATTCAAACGAATTTTTCATATCTGAGGACAGGGGTTGCGTTTCTTTTTTGACAGAGTAGTACAAATTCAAATTCAAGATGGCAGAAAACAACATATTAACATATTTTTCTGACAAGATATGATACATGCAGTATATGTTTTGATATATTTACTATGTCTCGAGATGTTTTTGCAGATAATATTTTCTTTAACTTTGAAAAAAGAGGTTAGATTGGTGGGTAAATACTGTTGATGGGTGAATCAGGCTTAACTTCTAAATCACTCAACCATACAGTTGTTTTGATAGGACTGTAGGCAGAATGAACTGTAGGCACATTGGGAACATCCCGATGTGACCGGCATGAATCGGTAGAACTTGGTGGTTATTTCTGTCTCACAGTCCCTGAACTGCATTATTTTCCTTCTAGCCCAGCCCTTTCTGCAATACTAAAGTCCTAAATGAAGCAAGTCTAGATTTCCTCAGATTCTGAATCTCCCTTCTCACTGGGTCTCCTTTTCAAGTTAAACGAAATTGTTGTTCCTATCAAAACTATATGTATTCAGAGACTAAGCATTAGTCTATTTGGTGGAGTAATACTACTTGAACGCTCACGTGAGCCCACTGCACGTTGTATGTTTAACCCAAGCTGCTCTGTCTACTTCGCCCCACACTGGCGTCTCATTATACATTCTACGAACGGCTAACGTTCCAGGAAATGCAATCTAGGTCATTGATAAACAACTGGCTATAACAGCCCTGCGGGATAGTGCATACGGCCGAGCTACTTGTTGTAAGCATTTCATTGTGGAATTATAATTGGAGTCATGTGTGAGCATAAAAAGATGGGATTGTATATCACAAAATGGGTACCCCAAATTGCGTGACTGGTCTATACGTTTATGTAATGCGTTAACGTCAACTATCATCCGGGGTTTATCCTTAAACAGTGTCATCTCTCTTGTCGTAGTTGTTGTTGTTGTTGTTGTTGTTGTTGTTGTTGTCAATGACGCCGCACTCAGCAAGATTCAAGTATTGTTCGGCGACCTGTACATAATGGTATGTGGACAAGATAACCCAGTGATCATATTCTGTGTTTCTTATATCCATCTTCTACCAACAAGAGATCGGGAAGTTGAAAAATATATGGTTTTGACTAATTGTGCCATGTGTTTTATTATATCTTAAAATTAAATTCACATGGTGTTGAAATTGATTTTTGTACCATTGTACCATCAAATGCTATCTACAGTATGATATTTCAGAACTGGATGTCTTTTGGACGCTATTCTGTGGACAAGCACGTAAAATCAGGCGTACGTCCGGATTGTACAAGCAATAACACACACACGCGCACACACGCACACACATACCTGTTGTTGTGAAACTAGTGAAATAATCCTGAACTCAATTATTTTGTTTTGTTTGTTTACTTGTTTAACACCGCACTCAACGTCATGAGCATTGATCTACGCAACTGGGACACGATGACATGCAAGCCACATCACCTAATTTCAACGATGTATATCACGTGAATGTTGACAAATGGCCGTTAACTAACGAAATAAGGAAATGAATCACCAGAAACAGCAAAGATTACCCTTTGAAATTCACCTTGTGCGTGCATTTAGTTGACACTATAAAATGATTTGTCAACAGGTTGGTATGTACAGTGTTGCTATATCATAACATGTATTCCATGATGCTATAAACGATACATTTAATTTTGGATTAGGAATCACAAAAAAATACACATTTTTGAAGGGTGATGTTGAAAATATTTCAAGCTTTACCAGAAGCTTCATAAACAAAGACAGTCAAGTATCCGTTCAGACTGGAGGCACAGGTCACAAACTCACGCAAAGCCAAGTCAAGTGTTCACTGACAAAGACACCTGAAAAAATTCAAGACAGATCATACCAGGTTTACCCAAAGTCCTGTACAGTTGTACCATGTGCATTTTTCATCCCGTTTGACACCTCCATCGGTCTCTCTCATCCCATAAATACTACAGACATATAAACCGATATTTAAAAGGAAGTCAAAAGTGAAAAAATGAGACAGTCAAGTAAAATGTGTCGAAATTACCAAATCATGACATGTAGGTGCATTTTGCTATTGGTCATGTCAGATTCTGCTAACATTGACATGCTATGGCCAGCGTTGTGACTGACTGTATAGTTTGGCTGCCGCTGTTACAGGTCATTGGCTCCCTCCCTCTGCAAGCAGTTTGCTTTCTGCTGTTTATTTTGTTGACAGTTACATAGACAGATTCTTTCATACAAATGCATAAAATCGGTGATTTACAATGTGATTAGGTTGTCTGACAAAAACATCCACTTGCACAGTTTGAGATCGATTGGGTCATTGGATGAAGAGATATTTACGAAAAAAACGGGTCCACATGCATTTCATGCCAAACTATAGTTGTTGAGACAGTCAAGTAAATGTATCCGAATACCTTACACACCGTCGGATGATATGGTCTTTACAATAGGTAGCTGTTTATTTTATTTTTTTCATATCAACCTCGTGTGACGCCATCAGAGGTTGCCTCTAATATCGCCCAGGGTGATAAAACTATAATGTATTGATTGTAGAAAAGTCTAGTCAGTCGTTAACCGCGTTGAGTAAGTCAAATAGCAGCTAACCCCGTGGCGTTCATTTTACACATTAACCTTGAGATGAGTTGCTATTTACAACAAATCATGAGGTTCATTTTGTTATTGGTCATATCAGATTCTGCCAAAATTGGCATGTTAATTACAGCCTTGTTACTCCAGTAGCGACAGCTAAACTTCGACGTCATATTGACACAAAACGTAGTCAAAAGTATCACCATGACAAACGAGTAATAATGTTTTTCATTTCATTTCAAATGGGTTTTTAAAAATTAATTTGTCCCATCAAATGCTTGGACTAAATATTAAGCTTGAGGCTTTGCACACAAAATGACTCAATGGACATGTTCCAGGTTGTACAAAATAATGCTGTTGTTCCCATTCTTCAGCTCCTCACAACTGTCTTGATGCAGCGACAATAGATTAACATAGACCACCTTAATTGTTTATATGCAGCATATCCAACAGCACAATATCCATAATGGTATTGTCATCTCAGAATCTATCTTGATTCAATCCTTGCGTTGGTCAGTTGTTGGGTATTTCGACACAAATCAGAGCGTCTATCCCCTGAATAAAACACCCTTTCCAGAAGAATTTGAAGAAACTTGTGACGATTGTACGATGTGGACTATATCCTGACGAAATCTTAATGAAACAATGAGGAGTCAACTAGTGGTGACACGATGTGCGAAAAGGTTACAGACCGTCCGTCCAGACTTGTGGAACAAGTCACAAACACCCGCAAAGACAAGTCAAGTGTTCACCAAAAAAGAGACCTCAGGAAATTCCAGACACACCATAACAGGTTTACAAAAAAATCATATACAGTTGTACCATTTGCATTTTCATCCCTATTGACATCTCTGGCGGTCTCTCGCCACCCCAGGACTACATTGCAAATGCTACATCCCAGAGTCTTCTGTATACCACCCGGGGTGCTGTGACCTTGACCCACGACAGCTGTAAGGCTGGTAGGCCTGTTTGAGATGTGATTGATGGCTTCTGTATACAGTATTTCCACATTTACACCAGTGCGGCGCTGTGAACGGTAAGAGTTAGAGTAGTATTCCCTTCTCAAATACAGGTTGTCATAAGGCCTCAGCAGGATGAGATGTCTTCTACAGAAATCGTCCGAGTATGACCCAGACTTTGCGAGGACAATCGTCACATAGTGAATACGGGATCGCGAGGGCTTGCAGTAGAAATCAGCAAAGTAAAGGTTGGCATAGTCATCAAAGACCTCCGTCAAAGGCACGGTCACTCTGGTGTCTCCGAAAGGTGACCTATCTGGAAGATCGCCCCTGTACAGGGTCACCCCAAAGAAAATACCCGCAAGTCTACCGTTTATGGGACTACGGTAATCACCTCCGTGGTCCTTCATACAAGGTTTCATAATGTTGTTGTGGTATCTCCGAATATTTTGGAAGTAGGAGAATGGTTTGTTACGGTAGAGGAGACTCACCCTCTCGGCAAGGAACCCATTGCAGTATGTATCAGCCTTCTTCAGCAGCCTACGCAGGTAATCAGACAATTAAAGGCAAGCCATGTCAAGAACAATCACGTGTTACATGATTAAAGGATACGCTTAAATTGTTTTTAAGAATATAATTTTATTGCAGAGCTAAGATACCAACCGTCTGATATTCAGTAGTTGGGTGGGGCCTGTGATTTGATTTGTCGACAAAATATTTTTTCAGCTGCAGAGGCTGCGCCAGATATTATGTGTAAAATATAATTGGAATCTCAATATAGTTTTCCATTTTGTTTGGTGACAAAAATATCTTTCAGCTTCCAAGGTAAACCCAGATGCATTTTTCAAAAAATATACAATAGTCCCAAAGGAAATATAGTCCAAATATATTTAATTACGAATTATTTTGTCACAGACAGTTACTTATTTTACGGAAAGAGTGAAGCATAATTATTATTTTCAACAATTCAGACAGTATACATATTTGCAATATAATCCCAGCCCTAGCATCAATTACTTTTTAAAAAAATAAGAAATGGCCTAAATGGAATGACAGTCCAAATGTATTGAAACACGTAGCATTTCCAGCAGTTATTCATTTCATCGAAAGTTTGAAGCATAATTATTGTTTTCAACAATTCAGACAATATACATATTAGCAGTATAGCCCCAGGCCCAGGCCCAGTCAGAAACACAGAAACAGACACAACCCCTCCCCTAACACCTATCCCTACTCTTACCCCCAAATTAACACACACTTATATGTATATCATAAAGGCAAAATACGTTTAACGAAGTATATATACAGTGGAGTTTTCATGTGTCCCAGAAATGATTGTTGTTAACTGAACAACACATATTAAAATCTAATGAAGGCCAATACACAAGGAGATACGAGTAGGAGTTTCACAACTCCAACACAAACATCACGGCGCCTGCCGCCGACGGGCGTATTCATTAACAGTTTCCAAGAACTACAGACTTTTCTGGAAATCTCAAATTCTCTGAATCTGAAATCGAAAGAAGTTCGCTAATATCGAAACAACAGTTACATTGATATTGTTTTATTGGTTTCAACCACCTCTCAAGCATAAAACACAGGAAATAGGTTTTAAACAAACATTATATATACAATAATAATCTATCGATACATGGATTAGACTCAAGATAGGCTTCCGTCGGTCTTTTCTATGATTAACAAAGGTGCATGTAGAAAGTTGGAAACACAGTGGCCTAACTTCTATAAACAGTTTGAAATGTGCTCGATGTAGTTAGCTTACAAACAGGAAAGCACATATTTATGTTTGCATCATGCGCAATTACCTTTATCCGCGATATCTCCGACTGCCATGTTGCTTAAAAATAGACTCAGTCAAGTTCCTCACAGCGATGGCCCGTTTGCGGGGCACTCTGTACCGATACCAGTAATAGCTCTCCACTGTGCATATCAGCCTTTCAACCACACATTGATTTAAACACGCTGCACTCTGAACATTATGTATACTAGCCAGGCATGACTGTCATCACGCAAAACACTCTTACTAAAAGCTAAATTATTGTTTGTCAATCTGAATATTGAATCAGATATTTTATTCATGTTCTCAAGAGGTAACAGGCCCACAGTACATTACAAACATACTATGACGGTTACAAGTTTAGTGACATGTACTATTTTTTCCACGTAACATCGCATGATAAATATATATGGACAGATTCTGTATGCATCATGAAATTGCTGTTTCATTTAGAATATCATCTTAGAGATACTGACAATTGGTTGCTTGATAAATGGACAAATATTATCTATAAATTTCCAATATAATTTACATCATTTGATATAAAGGAAAACGTGAGTGCAAATTGATACTCAATCTCGAGTATCCTCAGAAACAGATTCAGTTATCCGTAAAGTGCAAATAGTGGTGAAAATTACACGAATGGATCAATGAAAATTCGTGATGACACCGGGTGTTCACGAAAGGGTTATATATGCCCTACCCTACCGGTATCAACCCAAACACAGCCTCTTTGTTTCCCATAGTTTAAATAAAACCAAAGTCAAGTCAAAGATGTTTATTGTACAAAAGGCCGCCGGTCCATATACATTAGAATTATACATATACATTACCCATATGTTGCAAATGGTGAATTACGATGGATCTACAAAACGTTATATTGATAGTCATTGATAGTGTCTTGTTGATGCTTCATTGGCACAGCAGTGACAACGATCTGGACAACCACCTTCAAAAGACATTCCTTTTAGCGAGATACAGCAGTACAGCGATACAGACAGCACTTCACAAATGTTCACAAATGTTCACTTTCAGTATGTAGCAACATCTATTCAGAAACAAATCAATACAATAACTATTTATAACAAGTAACTTAAATATCTCAAACCATGTTACCCCATAGTAATGAATAAAGCTAGTTTTGGTTATCATGTACAAACATGGCTCTTGTATTCATATTTCAGTTTGATCTGTCCTTATCTTTTCTGATTTTATAATGTAAGTATTGACATTGTATACGGAAGGTCAGGGACATATACATTGCATATTTTACAACCAGGTGTTTTAATTATGCCTCCTGGGCTGCTGCTTCCTTTCCCGATCACTTCAGTTTTGGTCAGCTCCAGCCCCGATATGTCCACTTCATCTGTATAGAAGACTTCAATCCATACGTTGCGCTGCTGGAGAGTTTTGTAGGTGCTTTCTTCCTTCCTCAGAAACACGTTGGTTCGTTCATTCAAACCAATGAGGTGCTTCTGACAAAAGCGGTCAGCTTCTGTATCAGGCTTTGTAAGGACCAATATGACGTAGTGATTAGCCCTTTGACCAAGCATACAGTAGAAATCAGCGAAGTACAGCCTGGCAGAGTCATCAAAGAGTCTCTCCAGGGGAACCACCACTCTGGTGTCTCCGTATGGGGATTTAGTTGGTAGATGACCGTTCCAAAGGGTCACCCCGAAGAACACACCTTTAAGTTGCCCGTTTATGGGACAGCGTGGATCCCCGCCGTCGTCCTTCAGTTGTGGTATCAGGCTGTCAAGTATAAGTTGGTCGAAATAGTTGGCAGGTTTATTACGGTAAAGGTCACTGACTGTATGGGAAGACGAGCTAAAGCAGTGCTCTTCAGCCATCGCAAGTAGTGCTAGCAGATGACCTGAAATAAATGATATTGATAGCAATAAGTATCTATTACAAAAATCAGAAGCGATTCATCAACCAAGTGTTAACCTTCAGGAAAACAACTTGTGTTTGTTACACTGATACGTTAAGTAAAATGTTTCAGGATAGATGTGTTAACAGAAACTAACATTTCATCCAGTATTCCAAACCATTTGGTTGACAGTACAGTGTGTCGTACATAAATTAGTTAATAGCGCACATTATGAAATAATAACTAAACCTGTATGAAACATGGACATCATATGGAAGAGAAAACAAGCAGCACATTTAGTCACATCAGTGTTTATTGTACTGAAAAATATGTATTGATTGTTTATCTTTATGGTTGTAGAATGAATACAAAGTTTTCCCAAACACTTAATGTTCTTGTTTGACCTTTTACAATCTTAGATAAGAACCAAGTTAATTCACTCAAAACATTTGATTTTTACACAACCATCACACACAAGCATAGTGGAAAGCTTCTTTGTTCCATTGGGTTTCTGTCACTGAACGTGGTGACAAAAGATATTCTTAGATCTCTGCCATCAAATCTGTCATATGAAGTTACCTTAGAAAATAATGTATTAATTCGTTGGACATCCTTATTGATAATGTGAATGTGTCTCCTTGATTATCTGTGGCTTAATGGGGCTTGGGTAGCCTAATGGTTAAAGGGTTCGCTCGTAACGACGAAGGCCCAGGTTCGATTCACCACATGTGTACCTTGTGTGAATCCCATTTCCGGTCTACCCCGCTGCGAATATGCTGGAATATTGCAAAAGGCGGCATGCACTCCAATTCACTCACTCACTCATCATGAAGACAAATAGAAAGTTCCGCTCGGATTGGTAAAATCAGACAAGGGAACAGACTAAGAATTTTAACTTAAGCTTCAGGTATATCGAAATGTGGTTCATTTATATCCAAACAGTCTATTCAAGAAGAAATATCTGGATTCATCTTTCATATACCTATTCCTTATACATCTGTAAAAATCACTTGTGTGTGTGTGCGTGCGTGCGTGCGTGCGTGCGTGTGCTCTCACTCCGCATTACTCTAACATGGTCTGTACATCAAATAGGCGCGGAAGAATGTTTCCCATATTCATATAAAATCTTCCTTCCATACGTTTCTTAGGTAATATCAAGTTCAACCTACAGACAATGGTTCGGCTACAGACAATGGCTACAGTGACTGTTTTTTCTGCATCTGCTTTGTCTTGACCTTAAATGGTATCACCTCTTGAGACGGACTAAAGCTTCATTGTCACCTTAACAGGATGTTTTTCTTTCTGTGGGGAATGAACAAGCGTAGCTGCCAGGTCCAGTTCATTTCTTTCTATGCAGACATATGAGAAGTTGATTTTAACCACTGGTAGAAGTCATAGGCAATAAGTTTTTTGTGTCTTGACAGCATTGGCTTAATAAGAATCGCATGCAGTAACATCACTACTTTGAATAGTTTCCCATAGCCATTTTTTAAAGAATAGAACATGCAAGTTTTTAAATATGATCATCATACCGAGTATGCAGTTTCACAAGCATTTAATAAAGAATTACATCAATAAATAATCAAACACTGAAAATGGTTCTGTTTACATCTATAAATTTACATCTCTCCAATCCAATCACAAGTTTACTGCTTTGTCACTTGAAAAGCAAACATATTTTTCAATATTCTGCTTACTTTATACATAACTGTCTGAATTATGAAAGTATTAATTTAATTACTCAATAATAGAGAAGAATTCGAGTGTCTTTTGATATCAAATATATCACCACGAGTTGATAAAGTTACAAATATCCGAGGCTTGCCTCGGGTATTTTTACTTTTATCAACGAGTGTTGATATATTTGATATCAGAAGACACGAGGGTGAGATTCTATTTATCATCAAAAATCACTCTTTATTAGTTTTCAATAAAAAATGTACATCTCTGAACACATTACTGCCATTAGATTTGCAGTGCAGCGATGTCATAACATTGTGACGTCAACAAGTTCATGACGTCATAGCATTGCCAGGGCATTGTACAAAATCTACTGTCAAAACGATATCTCCACGGAGATATCGTCTGATCTCGCACAAGCGATATCTACTGTGGAACATAGTTTTGGATGATAAATCATCATAATGCTACAGAAATGTAATTCGGAAACATTATACATTATGTGGCACAACGCTAGAGTCACACTTATTCCACTTCAGGAAAGCCCCGATCGTTAAATTCATATTCGGACGACCTGCTGAAATGACCACACATGATTGCATAGGGTTTTGCGGGGCACATTTTCACTTAACGGAATTTCTGAACATCAACTTAAAAGTAAATCACATCTTATATTTAAATGTCCAGAATGAGGGCTACGTTACTTCGTTTTGGTGATTTAGTGTTTGGAAAAACAGACGGTTATGCTATCCGTTTAAATGGATTAGGGCCCCCATCAATTCATGTAAGATTTATATTATTGTGGCCGTCACGTATGATTACATACTTTTAAACTGTTCTAATAATAAAAGATAAAATGGGTTAGTTCGTTCTACTGATTCTCCTTGTTGATCAGTTGACATTTGTTTGAAACAATTTTGTAGCTCATTTTACTTTTTTAACTTGTTTATATACAGTAAATGTTATGTACATCAGTTACCATAACCTAAATTACTTTACTTCTTTGAAACAAAAAAATGTCTTTCTGGGGTTTTTCTCATCCCTGATTTTTAGGGGGTTTTTTTAAAATAAAAGCATATATTGAAATCTTATCATGCTGATTCATTACGTTGCCTTGTCTTTGAAATATTACCTAGAAGAGAATCATTGACGGCTAGATCTTTCACAGACAGCAAAACCTGTAAAGGAACAGTCAGTTTCAAATATTTTCTCAAGTATTTGTGACTATTGTACTTTAGCATAAACTTCTATTACATTTGTATATTGACTACTGAATATTGTCGAGTTCATAGAAAAATCAGTTTCTCTTTAAGTATAGCAGGGGCTGTAACCAGTCCAACAGCATTTGTACAACTTAACTGAGAATGGCTGCAATTGAAGTGTCTAGCTTCGAAGGTACTTTAAAGGCACAAGTACATTTTCACAGTTTGGTTTGTATTAAATAACAATGTAACTGTTGTTTCGATATTAGCGCCCGGCTTTCAATTTCAGATTCAGAATATGAGATTCCCAGAAAAGTCAGTAGTTCTTGGAAACTGTTAATCAATAATGGTTCTAATTATTAAGCTAACGCAGTTTAATTTACAGAATTTAACACTGGTCATAAGAAGTGTCTAGCTTCAAAGATTCTACCTTAAAGGTACTTGTAGTCAAAGCAGAACAGGGTGGTAGCCTCTGGACTGAAAGTTCATAGAGTGAACTTTTAGACAAATCAACAAGGCGGGTGTTTTTCTGCAAAACGCCATCAGATGTTGAAACAGTAGTGAGTGTGACCACCATTGGCTTCAATATACGCCAAAAACACGTCGATGCATTGATGACGTAAGACGACGAATGGCGTTAGTCATCCTCCGTTTGCATTACAGTAGGAGACAATGTTCCAGTTGTTGAGCGGTGACGGGTTCCACTGGTAGTCTCCTGATTTGTCCCATAGTGTTCTATCGGATTAACTCGGGAGAACAGGCTGGCCACGGCAAATCAACGATGTTAGCGTTATGCGGAAAGTTGTTTGTCAGTCTTGCTGTATGAGGCCTTGTGTTAGCGTGTTGGTAAATGATGAATGGCAATACAACTGGTCTATTTTGGATTAGTGATATACAGTATTGCTTTATTATAAGATATATTCCATGGGACTATAAACTATATATTCCATGGGGCTATAAACGATATATTCCATGGGGCTATAAACGATATAGTCTATTTTGGGTTAGTGATCACTAAGATATACACATTTTGGATGAGTGAGTGATGTTGAAAATAGTTTGACCTATATCAGAAGCTTCATAGATATGAACTAAAGAATTATATACATATATTTGGAACTAAGTTAGAAGTCTTAACAAAGACTGTCAAAGACAGGAAATTCCAGACAGACCATAACAGGTTTACAAAACAAATCATGTACAGTTTAACCATTTCCATCCCTATTGACTCCTCAATTGGCCCCTCTGCATCCCATAAATACTATAGATCTATATACAGTGAGTGAGTGAGTGAGATTTAACATCCCATCGGCAATATTTCAGCCATATCGTGACGAGAACACACTTGACATTGAAATGGAATATGTGTATATTATATAATCCTGTCATCAAAGGACAGTAAATCAACTAGAATATCACAATTAGAAACAAAACTAGTGTGGAAAGTTAAAACTAATAGCACTATTAGGACAATACAAGATAAAAACAGGCTATAGATCGCAAAGAACTGAAGGTAGATCACCATACTAGGGATCATGGAGACTTACAGTACAGATCTATATACATATATACTAAGTCAAAAAAGAAACTTTACATTCTTTCTTCAGGGCACTATAAAAGAACAAGAGATGGTAAGATGGTTAAATTGTTATTATTTCATTCCTGAGATCTGTGTGACGTACTCGATACACTGACAGTGCCATCATCAGTTCCATTAGGCTACACCGCAGTTCCAAAACATGGGTATACAGAATGTCAAGTCACAAGAATAAAAATGCGAAATTTCTCAGTTCAATATCGTGTATGGCCGCCCGGCGCATTCACCACTGCCAAACACCGTCTCCTCATCGACTGCCTGATTCTTGTGAACACGGGATTCTGCGCCATTGCTCTTGCAAGGCAGCGCCAAGTTCCTGCAAATTCTGAGGTTGGTTCCTAAGACCACGAAACCTTCTCCCAAGTGCATCCCAAACGTGCTCTATTGGATTAAGGTCAGGAGACCTCGATGGCCAGTCCATGACGTTGATTCCAGCGTTTTGAAGGAAATTTCGTGTCAACATCGCGGTATGCGGCCGAGCATTATCATGCTGGAACTGTAGACCTGGGCCATGAGCCGCCATGAAAGGAAAGAGTTCAGGGGTGAGCACCTGGTCGCGGTAAGCAGCAGCTGTGAGGTTTCCACAGATGACCAGAAGTCGGGAACGGTTGTTCCCACAGAAAACACTCCACACCATGCAACTTCCGTCCCCGAATCTGTCGATTTCCTGTACACAACATGGGGCATACCGTTCACGACGTCGTCTCCAGACTCTATGCCTGCCGTCCGCGAATCTGAGGGTAAACCTGGATTCATCGCTAAAGAAGACTCGATTCCAGTCTCTCTGGGTCCATCGGAGGTGACGTTGGGCCCACAGCAGACGTTGACGTTGATGAAACGGCGTCAATATTGGCCCACGATATGGACGTCTAGAATTGAGATTGGCAGCCCCCAACCGATTTCGAATGGTCTGTGAGGACAGTCGACCTCTAAACATCTCAGCCCTGGTTCGTGTAGCCGGCAGAAATCTGTCACGTAGGTGACGTAGGACGATTTGACGGTCTTCTGCTCGTGACGTCACACATGGACGACCCGACCTTGGGCGATCAGAAGTGGTGCCAGTTTGTTGTAGACGACCTCGCAAGTCATACACAGTCCGACGGCTGCATCCCATTGCTCTTGCGACGTCAATAACTGATCTGCCCGCTTGCAACATGCCAACGGCACGTTCACGTTGCACATTTGACAATCGTGGCATTTCAAGTACCGTTAGAACTGTGGTTTAAAAGTGTTTTTTCAATTTTTGAGGCCAATGCAAACACGTGCATATGAAGAAAACTTCGATGCGAAGATCACGTGATCGACTGCACGTGCAAAACATGATTATTCATTATTTTTCAAATTACATTTTGTGAAGTTTCTTGTTTGACTCAGTATATTTAAAACGAAGTCAGAAGTGTAAAATGAGACCGTCAAGTAAATGTGTCCAAAATACCAATCATGAGGTGCATTTTATTATCAGATTTTTTGCCAATACTGACATGTTATGGGCAGTGTTGTGTCTGTTGTAGTGTATATTATTCATTACATTGCAAACTGGATTTAAAAAAATAAATTCTTGGAAGAAATATCAAGCTTCAGGCTTTACACACAAAATGACTCAGTGGACATGTTCCAGGTTCTCCAAAATAATGATGCTGTTCTCATTCTTAAGTTCCCCACAACTGTCTTGATGGAATGACAATAGATTAACATAGAATACCTTAACTGTTTATATGCAGCATATCAAATCGAAAATAGGCATGACGGCTTTGAGTGAGTGAGTGAGTTAAAATTTAACGTCACATCGTCAATACTGGAGCCATATCGTGACGAGGATTTGAATAATAAATAAAGTTGTAATAACTAACGTCAAATTTAAAAAAACTGCCAACGAAGGACAGTATAATTAGAGGATAACAGATATAGATATAAAACTAGTATGAAAAGCTAAAAACTTTTAAGTATAGAAGACAACACAATATAAAAACAGGCTATATATTGCCAACAACTGAAGGTAAATCACCATACTAGGGACCATGGGGACTTTTGCTTCCTGCATAGACCCTGGCTGGATTTACACCAGCCCTCCAGCCGTTAGCAATTTAGGAAATCTAACAATACATTAAAAGACGATTCTACGATTAATTACGTGGAAAATTGTAATTTACTTTGAATGTGTTGGGACTTACGTGTCCTCTCAGGAGGACAATAATTTTACAGTACTTTAACCCCCTTTGTGGATGAAGCCACTCACAATCGAAGTTACTAATATAAACTTCCAAGCATAATATATTTATCTATTTACAAATCATTCAACAAATCTAATTCTTTCAAAAATGCAATAATTAAATGAGAACATTTGTTATTAAAAAGATCCTTCATTTTTCGTGATTTGAAATAGTTATCCCTTGTGATGGAATATTCAATGCAGTAAAGGAACACATGCTTGACCGTGATGCTTTCATCACAAGGGATACAAAACGGAGGATCTTCGCCTTTCAATAAATATTCGTGAGTAGATCTAGTATGGCCAATGCGACATCGTCGCATAATGACCTCTTCAAATCTGGACTGACAACCCAAGTAGGTGCAACCGATTTAGGGTTTTATTATATGTAATTTATTTATACTTTCTATTTATGTCCCACTTCTTCTGCATCAGATCACGGATATAAGTTCTAATGCTAGCTTTGTAATCAGAGTATGGGATAAGAAGTGGTGTCACAGATTTGTTGAGTGCTGCCTTAGCAGCAAAAAACGCCATTGTGTTCCCAAAAACACCAACATGGCTTGGTAACCAGTAGCAAGATCATTATACAATTCAATAATTTCTATTAAAAGTGGATGTTTACAAGAAAGATTTGTAATGGCCTGAAGGCATGAAAGAGAATCGGAAAAGATTATGTATTGTTTATATCTACGGTGTTTATTAATATATTTAGGAGCTGTTAATATGGCGCTTGCTTCTGCTGTGAAAATTGAGCTGTTATTGGGCAATCGAGCAGATATTGTTTTTGATCCAATGACAGTGGCACAAGCCACTGTGCCACCATCATTGGACCCATCTGTAAATAAGGATTTGTATGTACTATATTTACATTTTAGTTGATGATATACTTGTTTATATTGTAATTCGTTTGTTTCAGATTTTTTAAATGTTGTCAGTGTTAGGTCAGCTTCTGGTTTAACTAACTGCCAAGGAGGAGAAGAAAGCAGACGGGCAGGAGCTCAATGCCTGCCAGCAGAGAGGAAAGGTTTGACTCTTAGTCCCAGAGGCGGAACAAGAGAAGACTTTTTTCTTGTCTAGACGGTCATAAAGATGGTTAAAAACACAGAACACATCACAATTTAATTCTGGACTCACAAAAACATCTCACAGCATCTGACCTACCCGCCCCTGCCAAACCCTTAAACTCCAAAATATACAATTGGTACGACCAACCCCAGTCGTACGCATCCTCAGTTGACGACGGCGACGTACTCCCACCACCATTAAATCCCCCGCCAGGCCAGGGTGCCCAAGTCAAGAGCACCAAGCTCCAGTCACTCAGCTAGTCTGGCGTCTTCCCGGGGTCGTAGGACTACACAACACAAAAACCAAAACAAAAACGAAGCTGCCGCCCCGGCTGTCACAGCCACCCCAGCCAGCCTTGAGCAACCAGCAGTTGCTCCCCCCAAATCCCACAGATCAAACTCAACTCTGCGCCCACAACACACAGCACAAGTCACAATTACGCAACTACAAAACGTGCAACATAAGCTCATGGAATTCATTACCGCACTACCTCTCTCTCCTCACAACACAATAGAAACAATTCACCAATATCTCCTCCAAACCTCACTCTACACTCTCCCATTAGCACAGTTTCAACACAATGTTAAAACCGTCAAACTAACATGAGACACAACACACGCGCTCAATCTAAACTACACATGCTTCTACTTGCACTACTACCAGTAGTCATTATGCATATTATCCAGTGGAATGCAAATAGCTTCATACCTAAATCCTATGAAATAAAATCACTCATAAAACTAAATAAGTTAAAATCCACAAATAATATCCATTCAAGAATCAAAAATACCAAAAAATAAACAATTCACTATACCAAACTACTCCACACTCAATAAATACAGCACAATAAACAATCCAAACGCTACTCGCGGTGGCCTTTCCTTATTCATACACGACTCACTCAGTTACAAACAAATACATATAAACACACCCCACTTGGAAACACAAGCATATGTAATCACGACAGAAAAAAAACCCATAACACTAGTCAACATATATCACCAAATCACAAACCCTATGGACAAAACTGACCTTGAAATACTAGCCAACCATATTGCTAAACACACAATCTTTTTAGGAGCTCTAAACGCGCATCACCACAGCTGGACCACCAGAAACCACTCAGACAAATTTGGAAATTTACTATACGAATGAGCACAGCAAAACGACCTAATTATTTTAAATGACAAATCCCCAACCAGATAGAGCCAACAGGAAAATCAAAACTCCCTAACAGCAATAGACTTAACCATCACCACGCCCAATCTGGCATGCAAATCAACTTGGGAAGTATTCGACGACCCCTGGGGAAGCGACCACTTCCCCATCTCAATAAATATCAATATTGGTCCCAATTTTACACCTGAGCTAACCCACCAAGACCCCAAACTCAACTACACTAAAGCAGACTTGAGAAAGTACCAAACCATAATCAATCAAATTGACTATTCACAAATTATCAGCTCAGACCCTGAAACCTTTTCCAACAATTTCACTAGAGAAATTATTAACATAGCTACTAAGTGTATTTCCAAAACAAATCCTAACTCCCAATGCAACAGGGTTCCCTGGTGGACCCCAGAAATCAAACAGGCAAGAAGACAGAGAAAACGAGAATTTAGACGCGCAAAAACACATCCACACGAACTCCCCCACGCAAAACAACTTCGAAACAGTACACACATGCTTATCAAAAATACAAAAAAAAGAACACTGGGAAAAATTCTGCAGCACTCTAAACATAACGAAAAATAATTCTAAAGTCATGTGAAACAAACTAAAGGCAATAAAAGGAACAAAAAATTCTACACAATTCCATAAAATGCACGACTATACTGATAATAAATTAAAAGCACACACATTAGCCCAGCATTATCAGCACATAAGCAGTAACACTAATCATCCCGCTTCACTGCAACAGAAAATACTCACTACACCAGCTTACGTCATGCTACCGCCCCAAGCCCATATACCCTACAACGCATCCCTAACAATACACGAGCTCACACACGCTCTCCAAAGCAAAACCACGTCGTCTGCTCCAGGAGGAGATGGCATAACTTACATACTACTAAAACAGCTCACCTTACACGGCAAAACGCTACTGCTTAATCTACTTAACACAATCTGGTACACCTCACAATTTCCTACTACGTGGAAACAAGCACTTGTCATTCCAATAAGGAAACCAAACAAACCACCACAGAACCCAGACTCATACAGACCCATATCACTCACATCAAACATATGCAACATCATGGAAACAATCATCAAAAAATGACTTCAACATCACATAAACACAAACAATCTCATACATGCAGACCAGAGCGGGTTCACGCCAAACAGAACAACCCTAGATCACATCATCCGAATAGAGCACGACATCAGAGTAGCCCAAGCAAACAAACACTACCTTCTGGCCATATTTATCGACTTTTCAAAAGCCTTTGACATGATTTGGAATGGCGGGCTAATAACAAAATTGATGCATAAAAACATAAACGGACGTATGCTAAACTTTATACACAGCTTCCTGAACAATCGCACCATAACTGTAAAAGTAAACAATGCACTCTCAGATCCGCACCACATCCAAAATGGCACACCCCAAGGTAGTGTCTTATCTCCAACGCTCTTTAATCTTATGATCGACGACATATTTACTGACATCCGCTCAACAATCAAAACAGCCAAATTTGCAGACGACGCATCCCTTTGGACATCACATAAAACACTAGGCACAGCCCAGGAACACATCCAACAAGCACTAAATCACATCGACAAATGGGCAAATACATGGGGTTTCAAAATCAACACTGACAAAACAGAAGCTTTACTCTTCAAAACACCCTATATGCAAAACTATTCACCATCCCTTATGTTAAACAACATCCAAATTAACTACAGCACACAAACAAAATTCCTCGGCCTAATACTAGATCAACACCTAACATACACACCCCATATCAAGCACCTCATCACCAAATGCAACCAAGATCTCAACCTAATGCGAAGCACTGAAGCATACGATGTACAAGCTGGGGAGCAGACGAACTCACGCTTCTCACTGTCTATAAAACACTTATACGACCCAAGCTGGAATATGCTGCACCTGCATACGACGCACTGACACAAAAAGACTCCAAGCAG